GAACTTGTAAATAAAGCTCATTTTTGATACTTTGTATGTACAGTTTGGAATCTGAGAACAAAAGGGCTCACAAATAAAACGTACATGTCTGTTTAGCCTAAGCATTTCTGGTCGCTGATGCAACCAAAGGGGATGGAGAGCAAATCGTAGAACTACAAAAAGAGGTGCAATAAGAAACAAAGTCAAATGATTCTCAGATTTATCTTGTAAATAAAGCTCATTTTTGATACTTTGTATGTACAGTTTGGAATCTGAGAACAAAAGGGCTCACAAATAAAACGTACATGTCTGTTTAGCCTAAGCATTTCTGGTCGCTGATGCAACCAAAGGGGATGGAGAGCAAATCGTAGAACTACAAAAAGAGGTGCAATAAGAAACAAAGTCAAATGATTCTCAGATTTATTCACAAGTCGAAACTGGAAAGATTATACATGAGGGTTTATAAGGAAAAACGTTTTATTTATGTACTGAGCATTTTGATGTGGAGTAAAAAATGTGGGGAGAGATTAAATCCAAGGATTTTACTGATTGGAAAAGTTTTAGTACTAGACTACAGAAGTATTTCTGTAATTAGCATTTATTTCTTAGGTGGGGCATTAGAAAGAGATGCCCTAGAAGGATATCAGTTTGGATGCAGAGAATTTGTCTGAGAAGAAAAGAATATGGCATTCTTGAAAACAACTTATACCAGGTTAATGCAGTTCATATTGTTATCGAAAGATCAACAATGGAATCAGAAAGCTTTTTTAATGAATACAGGGCTTGATTTCACAGAGTGCTAAGTATGCCGGCACAGACCTTGCAAAACTCTTAACTCTAAGTCAATGAGAGTTTTGATTTTAGTAGGGTCAGGACTTCACCTTTAAATGTTGCTTTGCTTAATTGGACTTCAGTGCGACCACTCACATGCTTAAATTTAAGGACAAGCTTAAATGTTCTACAGGATCAGGACCAGAGTGCCTGAAATCTTAAGCTCTTCATGCCAACACAGCCCATAAAACTTAGGGTCCAACCCGGTGAAATGCTAAAAACTACTGGGTTGACGTCAATAAGAGTCAAGGGCACTCTATTTTGCAGGTTCGGCTACATTTTAAAAAAATGAATAGGCTGGGAACATTGAATAAGAAAGGATATTGCAGTGATAGAAGGAATCCAAGGGAAAATACTAAGCAAAAAAACAACAACCTGTCATTTCAAAAAAGAATGATTCTGTAAATAGCGATACTTAAAGAAAATGTACTCCCTGTATATTTAGAACATACAGCGTTGATGTGTAGAGATGTGTTTTAATAATAACTTACACAACCAATTGAATGTTGTGCTGTTGGTATTTATAAAAGCATCAATAAATAATAAATATTACTCATGATAAAACATGGATCCCTTGTGTTTACTGATGTCAGAGGGACAAGTTAAGGGATTGCACTGATAGGAACAAATAGTTCACAGCTGATCTTGTTTTTTACATGACTGAATTCATCATCACATACCAGACTTTCAGGCCTCAGGAAACTGAATATTACATCTAGGTTTTTAAGGACTTCCATTGCCTGACTTCTGTTTGACTTGAAGAAGAAGGGAAAGGATTCTCAGCTCCTAAGTCAGTGCAATAAGAATCTGCCCTCAAAGCAGGCCAGCTGTTGCCCAATTTAGCCTGCAAAGTAATTGGAGCTCAAGGAAATTAGAAATCCCTTGTTATGTTGAACCAGAAACAGTGCCTCTTAATAGTGAAAATAATCCTTCTTTCTGAGCAGCAGTAGCTACAGAACACTTCTTCTGTCAGCCTAGCTGTGTCTACACCAGGGATTTTGGTTGGCTTCACTGCAGAGCTAAGGATGTGTGAATTTTTCACATTGGGAGTGATGTAGCTTATTAAAAACTATAACTCTTGATGCACTCATTCAGAAGTGAAGTGATCTCATTCCCCTTTGAGGAAGTATCAAATAAAACTGAGACCACTTTACTTCTCAGTGGCAGTGTGCATCGAAGAGTACAGCATCCATACATGTTAATGTCACAATTTTCATTTATTTCTTATTCATTTGTGTGAGCGTCGCCATGTAAGCCAGCCCTTAGATGTAATGGCACCAGAGACACACTTTGCCGTGGGGCTGCTCTGTCATTCTGTCCAATGAAGAAGGCAACCATGTGAATGGTTCTAAGCCAGTGGTATATTTTAGAAATGTGTGTCTGTCTGTCTGTTCAAGAACTCCACCTTAATGGTAAGAACTAGGACCACCAAATTTGGTATGCAGCTTGGTTGTGCCAGGACAATGGGACATGCCTGGAATTCAATTGTTTCTCACAAAATGGAAAGGGAGCAGACTGGCAGGAGGGACAGTTATACTACAGAATGACCACAAGGGGGCAGCAAGGCTCCAGAGATGGGGCCCAGGACAGCTATAACCATAATGGGCCAGCAGGGAGAAGGGGTGGAGAAAGAGACAGCTATCTACTATATATTTCAGAGTTTGTCTGTGGGTGTGTCTGTCTGTCCCCCAGCCAGGATGTGCACCCCTCCCTCAACTGTGTCTGCTACAGCTGGGGGAGAAAAGGACAGGTGCATCTCACCTGGCCCCAAGCTGCTGCAGTGAGAGGGGGCTGGAGTTGTCATCTCTCCCCGGGGAAGCCTGCATACTGAACCCCTCATACCCAGCCCCACCCCAAAATAATGATTTAAATGAAGAAAAACAAAATTTGAGTTAAGGACCTGAGCAACACCAGGTAAATCTTCTAGTAAGTAAATAAACAATGTTGTGGTCTGTTCAAAAGCATCTGGTGGTCCAGATTTGGCCTATAGTCTGCCTACTGACTATTACCCCGGTTATAGGCTGTCATCCTGTTGCAACTTGCTCTAAAAGATATGATTTTAGGCCCGGATCTGAAGAAAAACTCGGTGTAAGCTTGAAAGCACGTCTCTTTTTCCAACAGCAATTGGTCCAGTAAGAGCGATTATCTCCCCCATCTTGTTTGTCTAGTATTTGGAGACCAGCACAGCTCCAACAGCATTGTAAGTCACTTTAGGCTTGACAAAGCAATGGCTCCCTAGGCTGTCTGTTTGGTTTGGTTTTTCATACTGTCACATGCTTATAGATTTCCATTAAACCCCTCTGCTGGATGGAGTGAATGATCTGAACACTTTAAATGTTTAAGCCACTCGTCCACTCCAAGGTTACCTCTGCTGGAATCAGAGCACGTCTAGTGAGTTCAGACATTGAACTGTTTAGTAAGTCAAAATAAACACACACACACCACCAATAAAACAAAAACAATGTAAATTTCACGGGCCCAAGGCAGCAATTGGCTTTTTGTTTTTCCAGGAGCATATCTCAAAGTAAAATAAATTCCCCGCCCTCCCGCCGCCACCTTCTCTGCCCCACTTGACTTGTACGACAGTTGGCTCTGACTGATGCTTTGGAGGCCTGTAAAGGATAATTTTCTGAAACGGGGGCTAAAGAAAGTGGATTCCATGAAGACTGTAAAAGATGTAGTTAAGCAGAAAAAGCACAAACTCGCATTCTGGCTGGGGCATGATTTCACAACGCAAGCCTATGGGATAGCTAGTGGGTTGGGCTCTTGTGGCTGCTCTAAATAGAAGGAGGCTGGTTCTAGTCTGTTAGTGACTAGAGCTAGTCAGGAAAATGTTGATTTGTCTAACCTGAAATGTTCTGGGGGAACATTGTGGGTTTGACACACTTTTGAGAAACCAGAAGCAGAATTCTGATGGAATCCTGCTCTATTTCCTACTAGCTTGCCTGGGAGCCTGAACTTCTACAGTCTGCAACTCTGGGCACCCTTACCACATAGACTGCCACTGCATGAAGGACTTCAGGAGTTCCAAGCTTCCTAAGAACATAAGAATGGCCATCCTGGGTCAGACCAAAGGCCCATCTAGCCCTGTGTTCTGTCTGACGACTGTGGCCAATGCCAGGTGCCCCAGAGGGAGGGAACAGAACAGAGAATCATCAAGTGATCCCTCTCCTGTCACCCATTTCCAGACTCTAACAAACAGGACACCATTCCTGCCCATCCTAATAAGAATTGATGGACCGGTCCTCCATGAATTTATCTAGCTCTTTTCTCAACCCTGTTAAAGTCCTGGCCTTCACAGCATTCTCTGGCATCCTGACATAGACTTGGTAGGCCAGTAATAGAAATGTAGCTGTGTTAGTCTGGTCTAGCTAAAACAAAAAACAGGACTATGTAGCACTTTAAAGACTAACAAGATGGTTTATCAGGTGATGAGCTTTCGTGGGCCAGACCCACTTCCTCAGATCAAATAGTGGAAGAAAATTGGTATGACCATATATACCAAAGGAAACAATCAAAAAAATGAACACATATGAAAAGGACAAATCAAATTTCAAAACAGAGGGGGCTGGGGTGGGGTGGGGGGGAGGTAAATCCCAGGCCAGAAGTTCTGGGATGGGTTTCCAGGATCCCTGGGGCATTCTGGAAATGGATGACTGAAATTGACTTGATTCTTGTCAGTTTCCTGGCTGCCCACCCCAAAGGTGTGGGATGGGAAATGACCACTCTGGTAAGTTTCATGGGGGGAGGGAAGAGAGGGAATGGTCATGAAACTGACAAAAAAGGTGTAATTTTCATTAATCTAGTCCATCCTGCTGGTGGAGGGTAAAAAACACGAAACTGACAAGTACTGTGACAATTTCAAGAGTCTAATTCACAGGGAGGCATGAAATTGATAAGGACTGTGTCAGTTTCAGCCTAGCAGGAACATGAAACTGACAAGAATTGCATCAGTTTCACAGTCTATTGCCTGGGGAAGCATGAAACTCTATTAGCCTCATTTCGCATGGGCTCTTTAATTGACAGGGCTTTTTTCCCTTCCCCTCTCCCTTTTTTATCTGCTTTATATTTGTCCCTCTGTGCCTCTTGCTCCATTCAGCGGTCATCTCAAGAAGTGGGCTATGCCCAGTCTATTCCCTGAGGTGAAGCATGAAACTGACAAGGACCATGTCAGTCTCACTGTCTAGTGGGGAAGCTTGAAACTGTGCCAGTTTACATAAGAACAGTCACACTGGGTCAGACCAAACTTCCATCCAGCCCAGTATCCTGTTGGCTGATAGTGGCCAATACCAGATGCCCTAGAGGGAGGGACATAACATGTCATCCTCACATGATCCTCTCCTGTCATTCATTTCCACATAAACAGAGGCTACAGACACCATCCCTACCCATCCTGATTAATAGCCATTGACAGACCTAACCTCCATGACTCTATACAGCTCTTTTTTGAACCCTGTTAAAGTCCTACTCTTCACCACATCCTCCGGCGAGGAGTTCCACAGGTTGCCGGTGCGCTGAGTGAAGAAAATCTTCCTTTGGTTCGATTTAAGCCTATTGCCTATTCATTTCATTTGGTGACCCCTGGTCCTTCTATTACGGGAACAAGTCAATAACTTTTCCTTATTTACTTTTCCCACACCAGTCGGGATTTTAGAGCCCTCTAGCTCCCCCAGCCCCCTCTTTCCTCAAATCCCCATCTTTTTCATCTCTCTTCATACGGGACCGGATCCAAACCCCCTCATCGATTTTGTTGCCAAGGCATCTTTTTTGAGAGGAGGCGACCCCATCTGCCCCAGTGCGCAAGATGGCGGCCCCATCTTAGGGGGTGTCCCTGACCCCCCCTTCTCCTGTGCACCCCCAGGGTCCCCCCCCAGCATGGGGGTCTGGAGGAATTTGGGGGGGCAAACTGCTCACCTTAGGGGGTGTCCCTGACCCCCCCTTCTCCTGTGCACCCCCAGGGTCCCCCCCCAGCATGGGGGTCTGGAGGAATTTGGGGGGGCAAACTGCTCACCTTAGGGGGTGTCCCTGACCCCCCCTTCTCCTGTGCACCCCCAGGGTCCCCCCCCAGCATGGGGGTCTGGAGGAATTTGGGGGGGCAAACTGCTCACCTTAGGGGGTGTCCCTGACCCCCCCTTCTCCTGTGCACCCCCAGGGTCCCCCCCCAGCATGGGGGTCTGGAGGAATTTGGGGGGGCAAACTGCTCACCTTAGGGGGTGTCCCTGACCCCCCCTTCTCCTGTGCACCCCCAGGGTCCCCCCCCAGCATGGGGGTCTGGAGGAATTTGGGGGGGCAAACTGCTCACCTTAGGGGGTGTCCCTGACCCCCCCTTCTCCTGTGCACCCCCAGGGTCCCCCCCCAGCATGGGGGTCTGGAGGAATTTGGGGGGGCAAACTGCTCACCTTAGGGGGTGTCCCTGACCCCCCCTTCTCCCGCGCACCCCCAGGGTCCCCCCCCAGCATGGGGGTCTGGAGGAATTTGGGGGGGCAAACTGCTCACCTTAGGGGGTGTCCCTGACCCCCCCTTCTCCCGCGCACCCCCAGGGTCCCCCCCCAGCATGGGGGTCTGGAGGAATTTGGGGGGGCAAACTGCTCACCTTAGGGGGTGTCCCTGACCCCCCCTTCTCCCGCGCACCCCCAGGGTCCCCCCCCAGCATGGGGGTCTGGAGGAATTTGGGGGGGCAAACTGCTCACCTTAGGGGGTGTCCCTGACCCCCCCTTCTCCCGCGCACCCCCAGGGTCCCCCCCCAGCATGGGGGTCTGGAGGAATTTGGGGGGGCAAACTGCTCACCTTAGGGGGTGTCCCTGACCCCCCCTTCTCCCGCGCACCCCCAGGGTCCCCCCCCAGCATGGGGGTCTGGAGGAATTTGGGGGGGCAAACTGCTCACCTTAGGGGGTGTCCCTGACCCCCCCTTCTCCCGCGCACCCCCAGGGTCCCCCCCCAGCATGGGGGTCTGGAGGAATTTGGGGGGGCAAACTGCTCACCTTAGGGGGTGTCCCTGACCCCCCCTTCTCCCGCGCACCCCCAGGGTCCCCCCCCAGCATGGGGGTCTGGAGGAATTGGGGAGGGATGGGGCCCTTCTGAAGGGGGGGGGTCAAATGAGTCAGCCCACCTCAGGGGGTGTCATGGCACTGCCCTCAACCCCCCCTTGCCTGCACCCTCACAAAGGGGGTGTCAGTGGGGGCACAGCCCCTCTTCCTAGTAAAGCTGGGCTGGGCTGTATGAAGTTTAAAACCCTCCCCTTTCCCTGGGGGGGGGAGACTTTAAAGGGCCCTTTTGTTTTCTCTCCCCTCCCCTCCCCCC